TGTCGGCTATCTCGACTGTCTACGATACTTTCCTAAAAATATAAATACAATTTTGAATAATAACAATAAAATTATAATTACCTATTTTTGCACGACAGTGATCACATCGGCTGCGCGTACCGCAGTGGACTGAACAACCCTTTGGCGACACGCGCTCAGGCTTCCTGCACATTTGACGTACAACTGCACCCTGAAACGACTAGTGGCATGACGTGGCCTATATAATAGTCGATGGTGTAAGCGATGACTAAAACACATAATATTATAATAATATACTACCCCTCTGCTGCACAGTAATAATTGCACCGTATATGTCGACGGTGGCACGAGTTGTAAACGTGTGAGGGGACTTTGGAAAATTATTACTACTAAAAAAACTATTACGATTTTAAAAATTTTAGGTTTTGAAATAATACTGTGAATCGGTGGACGCACGGGTCGCCGACGAATTTGTAAAATATGTATTCTCGTCGTTGAAAATTCTATACCTCTATGACGTATCTAGAATATAAAATGTGACGTGAACGTGCGCCGGCTGAGGGTGATTGCTGCTGCAGGCCTCTGCAGCGTTTCGCCGGTTTTCCAATTTTATCATTTCGATAAAACGAACACGGCAATAGGTCACACACACACACGCCACAATGATATATTATTATTATTTTTTTTTTATTATTATTATCACCGTGATCCGGTGTTATAGGGGTCTGCAACTCCTGTCCCCAAACAGTCCCGTCAGCGGCTGTGGCTGCGACTGACCGACAATAACTGTACTATAGCTATGCGCGTATTACCACCTACAAATGCCATAACGACCACTCGTCGGACGCACATTATAATATATTGCACAGCTGCAGTTATATCATACGACTTCGCCGAGTCGACCTATCTACGAACGTATACATATAATATATAATGTACAATGTATGTGCACACTACACAGGGTGATTCGCCAAGCACGCTTCCTATACCGTTTTATTAATTATAAATACATTTTAGGTTGGGTTAGGTACATTTAATAAATGTTTAAATTCTGATTCTTTTTTTTATCAGTCATCAATATTATCATAACCTTATCAATATTTTTGATGTTCCATACAAGTTTTATAATTTACAAAAATGCACGTCTATAAACATTGTCTGAGTAGGTATAATAGGCAATATCATACCGAGCATAACTATATATACGCATCTATACTTGATATAATTTATGAATAGTCATAGCCCCCATATATTAACACTCTAAACCTATTATCATTGATTATTAAATAATTTTTCAAAAAATCCATTTACAGCAAAATTATGTGGTAGGTACTCATTCGAAAAAAAAATTGAATTCAATAATAGCATAAAAAATCTCTGTATTTAAAAATACGTTCTCGTCGAGTATAATTTATTATTTCAAAAATCATAATTTTAATGAGTTAAAACGGGTTACTAAACGGGGGTAAGCGTGTTTGGCGAATCACTCTGTATATAATATATAACTGCAAATAATAAACACAACCTGCAGCAGTGGCATATAAAATGTAATGTGTGGTATCACTCGTATCCTTGTCCAACGCGCTATAAAATATTATCTGCGTCGTTTATAATATTATACATTTATACTATTTTGTACGGCGAGCGATGACACTCATTTTTCTTATTTGCATCGTTGTCTTACGATTTCAAGACAGATCGTATGTTCATATTCATATGCCGACCTACCTATTTAAGACCCCGAAAAAGACGAGTTTTTCACATTTTTGTCCTTTCATTTAAATGTCCTTTTGTGTTTAATGTCAGTCCATATATTTTATTTATACGTAACAAATCCAATGGATCGAATGAACACTGAACGCATATAGTTTGGTTGATCTTTTAGTTTTCGCCGGCAGGTATTCCTCTTGTAGTATTTAAACTTCTGATGCCCGTATGAATTCGGCAGACTTTTTTGTAACAAAACTAAAAATAGATACCTATATAGTATGGTCTCGAAAAATATTCTACTCAGTAACGGTTGAGTTTAAAATATCGAAACAAAAGTCACCAAGTAGAAGACAGCAACTAAGCGCACACTTACTAATTAGCTATTTGTAAATTTGTAGTATTACCTAGATAAGTAAGACACCCTCATTTTTTCGTACTTGATTAGTTGTATTATACAATTATAAGACGTCACATATACATAAATACAAAGGTGGGCAAGTTAATGAAAATAATTAACTCAAGTTGAGTTAAGTTGATAGGACACAAGATCGATAAGTTAAAAGTTAATATAGAAAAAAATATTAACTTAACTCAGTTTAAAAAAAGTTAATCTATTTTTTTTTAAATTAGTATGTAAATCACATAAAGAGTGAATGTGTCTTTCTAGTTTCTAATTTATAAATTATAAAAACAATTTTATTGAACTTTTATCATAATGTACACTGTATACCATTTTACTTTTACTTTACTATTATTTACTAATTTAAAATATACTCATCTCAAATTAATAATTTAATAAATATATTATTTTTATATCGTCATAATACGTGCAGATGAGTACCATGAGACCTTCATCTATATTATAAGTTATATAACATTAAAACATAACAATTATTGTCAATTTGTAATTTAAAATTATTAATTTTATTAAAAACATTTATAATTTATTGTAATTCGCATAATATATAATTTACAACTTAATAAAATATGTTAGTATACACACAATAATAATTATGTTATTAAGAAAAATAACAGAAATGTTTGTGTTTTTGTATTGGATTATTTTTATTCTATACTGATATAGTAATATTTACGTATAAACGAAAAATTTCAAAATGTTTTTAACTTGATGGATTTTTTTTAAATCAACTGAGAAAAGTTATTTCAACTGCAAATTAAACTAGTTAAGTTCATAAGTTGATTAGAAGATAAAATAACTAGTTAAGTTAAAAAGTTAAAAAAAAATAACTTTTTAACTTAACTAGTTAATGTCCACCTTTGCATATATACCTACCTATAATTTAAGACCCACAAAAATACAAGTTCTTTAAATAATTGTTATTGTTTATTTAGATTTTTGTTAAATTTGTTCTTAATATCAGTCCATACTTTATCAAATCCTGAAATCCAGATCAGAATATCCAATAAATAACCAACAAATGGTTTGGTTGATTTTTTAGTTTTTACCTGAAAGCTTTCTTCTTGTAGCGTCCATGGTTGAAAATTACAGGTATTATTACTTATTGCATATCGACTCGGATTGTTATCATCAGGTATAAAATGGCTGCTTAATGGGATATCAGAAATATCAATATTGTTCTTATCATGAAAAATAGCTGGCTACGTTTACACTGCCATTTTTGTTTTTATTATCAAATATTTGATTGAAAAGGAGTATTATAATATAGGTAGTATATTATAATTATTATTATATATATTCAATAACCTTGTATATATCAACCATAATATAGTAGTATCTAATCTTCTGATGGCCATATATGCATTTGGTCGACATTTTTCATATATTTTGTAACAAAATTGAAAATAGATACCTATAATATCTTAAGAAATATTCTACTCAGTAACGGTTTGCGTTTAAAAGTGTAAAATATTTGCCTAAAAACTCACTTAAAATCGAGTAAAATACGAGCTCACATATACCAATAATCGGCTATTTGTAAACCGTAAAATTAGGTACCTGAGTAAAAGTACATAATATAATAATATGTAGGCACTAGGCCGTATAATGTAGGTACTGAACACGTAGCAGTCGTAGAACATAATATTTTGTTATTATGTATTACAGATAAGCGATTAAATCGGGTTTAGTGAATTATTAATCGTAGTTATTATTCGATATCGTTTGATGTTATTACATTATAATGTATTAATTTATACTCGTTTGATGCACCACACATTTCTGTTTAGACTTTACGAGAGAAAGAAATTACTTTATTATACGCGATTAAATCCTGCAACGGTATACAACACGGTTAAAATGAATAATGATATCCCATTATTATATAAAATCTTATTTATTCCGGGTACGTCAGGCGCGTATATATACTGTTTACTGAAAACCATTGTTATCCCGAATACAATGTAACGAAACAAAAAGAGTTTTTAAAAAAAAAAAAAAAAAAGAAATAAAGGTTAAATAATATAAAACTTTACTGATTAGAACGTCGATCAACCCATTTTTAGGCTTAATAGGATTAATTCATTAGTTGCTCCACACAATAAAGCCACTCGCTTGATAATAACAATAATGATAATATTATACGTATAAAACGTATTTACACAACAAACATTGGGATAAGAGACAATAATATATTATTGTAATCATCGTAGTCCGCTTACGATAAACGGACGTAAAATATTATTAAAAAATACAAAATGTTTTAGTTAAAATATAACAATAATAATATGTAAGATCCTCTAGCAGATGTCCCATCAAAAGGTACCGCCAATATAGCAGTGATACATTTTTTTCAAAATTTTTGCTTCTAGTTATACAACCTTGTAACGTATAATAAAAACACGTGACACTCAAATAAATCAACATAACGTTAAAAAAATCGATGGAATGAAGTCTTACGAAAAAAAAAACCACGTGATACTGAGTGATATATATATAATTATTAGCCACACTGATTTTTCGTATTATTGTCGTCAATAATAAAATCTATTTTTCATCGTAATAGTTTTCAAAATCCAAAAATCCGACAGAAATGAAATCGCGGTGAGTAATTTTAATATAAAATTAAATAAGTATATTATGCACAATTACCTAATAATAAACGGTTATATAATATAATATAATATAATATTGTTCAGATCACTATAGTTATGGTGTAAGTTGTGGACGAGATTTTCGAAAAAGTCAATCCATACCAAACATTATTATGATAACTACGGTTTATTATTATTATTACTAATTATCATCGTTATTATTGTACTGGCTGCTGATCAGTGTCTGCAGACGAATGCCTTTGAAACCGAACGTCCGCGATTTGGACACGGTCACGGCTTCATCGCAAGTTGACGGCATACTGCACGCGCTCCTGCAAAGGTTGGTCGGGCATGTCCAAGTAGTCGTCGCTCGACCAGTCCCCGTAATCGGTCCGGTCGACCATTTCCGGCGTGATTGTTGTCAGCAACGGCGTGCCGTCGGCGCCAACGCTCAAGTAACGCAACAGGACTTCCGGTACGACGTACGGCCCAGGTGGCCGGGCGTTCTGGCTGATCATTGGGAAGTCGCCGCCGCCGCCCGAATCGGCCGAACTTTTGCCCGACCGTTTTAAGTCGTCCTGTGGAAACAAACCGATCGACCGTCAAACACGTCCGCGAAAACAATGCCGGGTGATTAATTTAAGGTATAGGACACTATCGTTATTGTGTGAAAAAGTATTGATGTTTATCCAATTATTTTTTTTTTTTTATATGATTTCAAGTCGTTATAGCAGTATAACAACGTCGTTTTTACTAAAAAATTATATTTTAGATCCTGAGCGGGGCTCTGGATGTATTGATTTTACAATGTGTGTTTTATTTATTTTTCCTTTGTTTTTAAATTTATAAGTCACAATGATGGTTTGAAAATATATTTTTAAGTACCAAACATGACCACTGCACGTATTTAAAATTAACAATATTTTCTGTAAAACTACCTCGTAAATATGATCCTAAATCTAGAACTATAAATAATCGTAAAACGAATTTGTAGATTTGAAATCTATACTTCATTCGTCTTAATCATGTCACAATCATGGGCGTTCTCACAGGGGGGAGGATGTGGGGGATAGATCCCCCCAAGGATCTTTATTTTCTTACATATTAGTAATACACGTTTTGTCTACTATTGATATGTGTTCGTGTTTTCAATATTGACTAGGTAGTTATTATTATTATTTTTTTGCTTTGCTAATTTTTCTTTATCGTGATTATTGATTCCACCAGCTATAATAAGCAATATTATTATTTATCACTGATAAGGATAACAAATAACAGGCAATTCGTTTTACAATTGATTAATTGTACTGTATTTTTGTAAACGATCACAACGTCAACTTTACCCATTCCCAGCGACAGAAAAATTGTATAGGTAAGATACACAATGATAACAATACAGTGATAAAATAAAATAAATAATTTTCATAACATTGTTTTATAGTTTAAATAAAAAGTACAATAAAAATGACTTAAATTGGTTATTTGATATTATCAACTATCATTATTAGATTCTGAGCAGAGCGCGGGATCTAGGTATTGGTTTTACAATGGTGTTTTTATTTTTTTTATCCTGTATACAAAATTTCTAAAAGAAGGAGTTCTGTGCTTTCAACATATAGTATCTTATCTTTTAGCAAATTGGATCAAAATGGTACTTGAGAGAGGTCATTTTTCGTTTTTCTCAATATTTATTTAATGACACAGGAAGAACCACCGACAAATTACAAAAACTGCTAAAAATGGGATTTTAATTTCTAACACTTTGCTTATCACGTTAAAAAAAATAAAAATAAAAATAAAAATAAAAAAAGCGAGTAAGTGGATGTTGCTCTGCTGTACAGTAGGTTACAAGTGGGTCATTGTATAATGGATTGTATTAAACTTGAATTCAATGATATAATATCATTGTATAAGAAAAAACGATTCTGAGAGGAGATGGTTTGTCAGTCATGGATATTTTATATTGTTATTATTTATTATTTCATGTAAGTTGAATTAATATTATAATATTATGATTTTTTATTGGTTTCTATGGTGATAAACAAAGAGTTCGAAATTAAAATCCCATTATTAGCGGTTTTTCGTAATTCTTCGTTGGTTTGTCCCGTGGCATTAAATAACTATGGGTAAAATGACCTCTTTAAAGTACCAACTTGATCCAATTTTCTAAAAATTAAGGTAGGTACTATAAGTAGAAATCGAAGCACTCCTTCTGGTAGAAATTTTGTATACAAGATATAAAAAATAAAAATAAAAAATAAACGCCTTTGTAAGACCACTATCTTCATCGCTCCGCTCAGAATCTAATAATGATTTTAGTTATTTTGTTGTAATTTATAATATTAATTCAACTTACAGGCTACAATAAAATATAATAACAATATAAAATATCCTGACTGACAAACCGTCTCGGCTCAGAATCGTTTTTCGTATACTATGACATGATATCATTGAATTCAAATTCAATTTAATCCATTATACAGTGACCAACTTGTACAGCCGAGCTACATCCACTTACCCACTTTTTTTATATTCATTATTATAATATGGGAGTTGAGAGACGAAACCCTTACGTCTTATTTTGTAACCAATTTTGTCATCCCCCTCCATTGAAATATCCTGAGAACGCCTATGGTCACAATGTGTGATATAATTCCAATTGCACCGAAATCGGTAGAATTTTTAAGGACATTATATTATTCGTAAGTCAAAATGATGAAAAATTATTAAACGATGATTTAATTGTGACTATTTGCTATTTACAAGCTGACAGAAAGCCAACTAGTATACTGGCCACAATGTAAATCGAAAAATAAGTAATAACAGTACTATTGATTGTTGATCGTGGGTAACCAATAATTTGTGGAAAACCATTATTGACTGTTTGGAGCTGGTCTACGAGACAAGTCCCTCAAACATTCCTGCAAAAATCTATTTCGACGTAATTTTCTATACTCCACGTTTTTTATCAGTTAGAGATTTTATCAGAGTTGGAAATGGCCGTAAATAACATGATGGAGGTTTCAAGCTGTCGGTCGTACGAATGTTTTACCGAACTTCGATCTGTGATCGAAGTGCTCGATCTAGCCGTCGATCGAAGGATCACGGTACCATTACCATTAAGTCATGGACTCGGAGAACGGTTCCGGTCGTCTCCGGAGATGGACATGGACTCGCCCGTGTTAAAAATAAGAACATATTTTTCTGAGCATTTCGACACATAAAAATCGAATTTAGGACGAGTAGCTTATGAATAAATGTTAAACTATAAGTATTTTAAGTTTAAGCTCCACTCCATTCCGCTCATCAAAATGTATTTATACCTACTTACAACTCATGAAATACTCAACCTAAATTCGATTTTTATCTATCAAAATACTTAGAAAAAATGTCGATTGGAATATGAAATTAAAACTGAGCTATAGCGTAATTCAAAACATTTTTACAACTAGAAACCTTTTTTTCAAAAACATTTATACTTTTTGAAATAATTAGTGTTCAATGATAAAATAATCATCCGGCTTAAATGTCATAATATGTTATAGGTATACATATAGGTACTAGGTGGTATTGTTATACAGAGAGAAAACGGCCAAGACGAAATCGTAGGACAATATTAACGTATAAATTCGTTTAAAAAAACGACGGTGAAATGTAACGTACGATAGGTATCCAACAATACAGTATCAGAAGAAAATACACCGAAATGGAAAAAAACTGTATTAACTCACTGACAATGTTTGATAAAATAGTGGTCTTATTGTCCCTAAAGCGGTCTAATCGTCACTTCGTTGGATTTATTGTCACCTGTGGTCCTATTATTGTCACTTTGTCGTTTTTCTCCACACATACATTGTTGCAGGTAACGTGGTAAAACTTTGAACTTTCTAAGAACTTCTAGGAAAAAATTGTTGAAATTTCTTTCGAAACCAGTCATTGACATTGCCGGTGACTATTTGGTTTCAGTCTTGAACGATTTTCTTCCCAGGAAAGTTTTTAAATGTCAGAAAAATGCTGACTTATATTTTCGTTCGTTTATACAGTTTTTCTGACAAAGTTAAACTTACTTTTTGGATACCCCTGGTAATAAAAAAAATAAAAATCATCAGTTATCGTTAAATACGTAACACTTAATTCAAAATTGGTATCTAGAAAGATATAAATATTCCAATAATGACTTTCAACCAATCTTATAAATTATTTCCAGCAACTGTCATAGTATTGCTCCGTCTATATAAAAATCAAATATAATAATATAGCAATCATATACTGTGACCGGCAATGACGCGTGATAGTTGAAAATTATGACAATATATGATTTATTGGCGAATTGTTTCAAAATTCTAAACTTTACGTGTATATATAGGTATATAGGCCATATAGTGTATACTGTATACCTACTTATAAAATGTATAGGTCGTACGATATCTATACACGGACTTACTCTGGAATACAAAAAGACTAACCTGAACGTTTGTACTACTTTACTATACCAATATTAAAGACTTGTAGACATCAATTTAAGAAAACGTTGAGTGGCATACTTAACCATAAAATGTTGTGTACATAGCGTACTTAATGTGTACATCAAAAATTACATGTCATACGCGTTAAATGTATACAGTTATGTCATATAACATCATAACCAGGGCTCGTAAGTTCATGCATCTGCATGTTTTTTTTTGCCACACAGGAAAACATGCTAACTGAGATACAAATCCGTTTCATAACAATAGTAATAATAATAAGAAGTTTGATAGTGCATGTTTTTGCATGTTTTGGGTGTAAAGTCATATTTGGCATATAGTTGATTTTTTACAGTCGTTAGTGCATATAATTTCATAAAAATATTTTTTAGACAAATATTTGAAAAGTTTCTTCCGGTTTTTGATATCTTGTTCCAATCGTCCAATATCGCATGGTAAATTATAACGGTTTTTTAAATTTTTTATTGAATAATTATTTAGCTAATTAATAAAAATATCGAAAATCAGGCTTCTTACGATTGTAAAAAAAGTTCTACTTTACAATTTTTATAATAGGTATTTTTACTGTAAACCACTTCAATAAGCCGTATTACTTGAATTACGAAACCATGGTTTTATGCCATATTTTGTCTACTTATGCGCCCTCTTGTTGGAAAACATAAAAAAAAACACTTATAAAATATATATTATTACTAAATTATCCCAAAATGAAAAACCTAATATTTCATTCCAAATGTTTTCATTGCTGGTGCTGAATAAGGGTGTACACAAATTAGACAAAATTGACTACCTAATTAAAATTTATAAAGATGACAAAGCTATTTGAACTTCACAAGTATTAATTTTATTTTTTATTTTATTAATTTTGACTGTTAAATATATAAAAATTAGGAGGAATAAAATACTTTTAAAATGTATGGATTTATTCTTATTATTTTAAAATTTGGTCATGTTTTTTTACATAATGCGTATTTTGAGTGCATAATTTAAAAATGTTAATGCATATAAATGCATATTTTTGAACTTTTAAGTGCATAATTTAATGCATATTTTGACAATTTTTAGTGCATGAATGCATGCTTATTTATGCA